GCATATTCTTCCACAGAAGAGATAAATCTACCAAGAGTGTGGCGACTGGAAAAGACCAGAGAATTTTTCCGTCCCACGCATGTTTATAAAATTCTATTTACAAGATACAGATGTACCTCAGGAAAAAATCCATCTTAAGTGTGGGAGTTTAAATATACACCATGCACCCCCCTGACCATAAATTACAGGGAGAGGAAGTAAATACTCCCTCTTTCCTGATGCTTCTAGGGATGGAGGCCGTACATCATGCTGTAATAGATCACCATTGATTTTCTTTTCAGGATTGTACATAATTCATCTTTAGCTCAGAGAAATAAATATGTTATCTAGGGCAGCGCCATCATTTTCAGTGTCACGATTAATGGGTGGCGTCGTTGGGGCACGTGGGGTCGCATACGAAACAGCCGATGTGGACGGGGTCCTGCCTGCCGATTGATTTTCAACTTCAGGACAAACCACTGGGTCTGCCCTTGGAAAGGCAGAAAATGCTTTACTTGTCTAAGGTCTGAACTTCTAGAAACTGTGAGCTCGAAGAAAAGCTCCACCTGGAATGAAAAGCACATCTGAGGAGGAGGAGAGTGCTCCTCGACCCGCCGGCCGAGGGGGACACAGCCCAGAGCAGCCGGGGTCTCCAGCCACATGGTGCTCGTGGCAGGCCCTGCCTGTCCTCCTGGAGGATGGAGCCGAGCAGAAGGGAGGACGAGCTACGTCTCTTGAGAAGAGGAAAATGAAGGCAGTATTTTGGAAAAGCAGATAAACATGGATGAGTAGAGAACCGTAGAGGATAGAGATGCAGAGAAGCAGACCCCAACCCAGGGCTGCCACCAGCCGGGGCAACCCCTTCATTTCCCCCAGGGTGATCCAGGGGGGAGGATGGTTATGGTCGGAGGCCTGGTACGCACGTGGGGACTCAGAGACGGTGGCCCAAGCAGCAAAGAGGGTCTCATTCTTAACTGGACTCATAGATGCCCCTCCTCCTCCCCTCATCCCCCCACCCAAGAGGGGACGGACTGGGGAGGCAACCCACGTGGGAGTCACGCCCCACACCGGTTTGAAAGCAGAGGTGGAGTCCAGGGACGATGAGGTAAGCAAGGGGACAGTGAGCCAGGAAAACTGGGGTGTAAAGGCAGATGACACAGGCGATGAGTTTTCACAGGCTGGAGGAAGAGACAAGAGAGAGACATGAAATGAAGTGAGAAGTGGTCAAGGGTAGAAAAAGAGAGAGAAAAATGGGAGCAGAGATTTAATCATGAAAAAGCACAGGAGCTGAGCTTCGGTCTCAGAAACATCGTGCGCCGCCCAAAGTTGACGATGCAGGCGGAATGACGGTGATGTCGAAATACACACGACATTCGCGTGCGAACCACATAAAAGCTGGCGTTAACAGTGGAGGCGAATGACAGCAACAGAGTGGCGACTGTTTATCTCCCGGCTGCGGCTTCTTTTGCGATGCCACTTACAATCATTACCCCCAAGAGGAGGCATTGTTGCCAGGGGAGGTAGAATTCTAAAGGTTTGGAGCAAGAACGAGAAAAACCCCGCAGCTTCTATATTAATATCTCATGCGCTTTAGAAACATTTTATAAATAGACGAATGCAGAGTCACTGGTAGTTCACGGCTGTCTCAAAATGACATGAATTCAAGGTAGGATGCAAATCGCGGCCCACGCCCGCTTCTCCCCCACACAGCTGACGCTTCTCCCAGGGTGTCTGAAGGAATAACCATCATCATTCATAACTACAGCTGGCATCACGAGCTGTGTCGGGTCCTGTTCCAAAGGCTTCACAGGGACCAGCTCGCTTAATCCTCAGACCAACCCAATGAGAAGCCCCATTCCCACTTAACCTATAGGGAAACGGAGGCAGAAAGCCGTTAAGAAATTTGATTAAGAAATAACAGAGCTGGGATTTCAACCCTGGAAGTCTGGCTCTGCAGGCAGAACGGAAAAGCCATAGGTTGGTTCCTTTCTGAGTTTTTGCTGAGGGACAAGTGGCTCTAGGCCGACCCCCGCTCTGCTGGGGGAGACCCTGTCAGGGGTTGCTGGACCTGTGACAGCTGGAGTCCATTTCCTTCTGAATTCACTCTCGGACCAAGGGACAAATATTTGAACAACACATCTCGCTGACCCAAGAGCTAGATGCTGAAAATGTCTATGCCATAATAAGATTAAGAAATATATATTTCTCTTAAATGTATAAAAACCCATTTACTGATTTTTTTTTTTTTTTTAAAAAGAGAAACGAGAAGAAACATGCCAACTCCACTAGGAGCCAAATTAATAAGCACTTGAACGTTTACTGCATCTGAGATGAGTTTCAAATTCTAGCAGTTACCACTGCCGGCCTTGTCTGTCTTCTCCCAACTCCCAGTAAGACAGCGGGTCCCCTTTGTGGCCAGGGGCATGGCTTTAAATTCCCTGCAGCCCCTAGCCCAAGATGTCACACCGTGAGGCCGTCGCTAGCTGATTGTGGAATTGAAAAGGATTGACAGATGCCCCTCCACTGAATTTCTGCACAATTCCCACAGTACCTGCTCTGAGGGTCCCTGTGCACCAGCCCCGTCCGGGGCTGGCGAGGGTGGGGAGGGCTGAGCTCCTGGCCCTTCGGGAACAGGGGTCTGTGGAAGGGACATGGTCTGGCAGGGAGGCGGAAGTTGTGTTGGGCAGAATGGTGAGGACACTTCAGTATTTGGAGAACCATAAAAGGTGAGAAATCATGGAACTCAAAGCCTTTTAACTTTTTGGGGTTCCTGCTCTTTTTCTCAGGAAAATGCATGCAAACACACTTTTCCTTATAATTTCAGAAGGCTTACAAACTCGCCTGACACCGTTCCATGGATACCCATCGACCCCCAAGTTAGAAATCCCTGATCTATTCTAATCAGATTAGAAGCCGAGGGTCACAGTGGTCAAGCCACTTACAAGAACTCACACAGCAGTTCATGGCAGAACAGAGCTGGAACGTGGCCTCCAGACTTCTGGGAGAGAAAGAACCCTTCCCAAGGTCCCAAACCATGGCAGTGTCATGTGACAGGCAGCAAGACCGAGGTCGTTTGTGACTCAAACCTCATCCATCAATCCCATAGCCTTAGGGTTTGTCTGATGTGTGAAGAACTTGCCTCTGTGGACATGTCATCTCTTCACATTCTAGCAGTCAGGCTAAGACCTGATTTTTTGCCTAGTGCCAAATCCAGATGACAGTTTGTTTAAAAAAAAGTCTGTGTTTCATTGACCAAACTGCCCCAGATCCCAGAATGGCCAGGGGACAGGGAAGTCCAAGGCCCTGCCTCAGGCCCTATCTTTTCTGAGTGTTGGGCTTATGAGGCCCTGGGTGTTGCAATGCTGGGGGTCATTGCTCTGTGGACACCAGACATGTACCCCTGAGTCCTCACCCATCTTATTCTGCATCAGGTCTCTGTCTTGGGTCCTGATGTTTAAACATAAGACATAGATGCTGTTGGGAATCTTTTTTTTTTTTTTTCCTAAAAATTCCAGCAGACCAGGCAATGCTCTTTTTTGCGAAGAGCTTGGTGGAAGGGGGGAATCGGAGGCAGCCCCCTGGTCTCTAGATCGTGTCAACATTGGCATTTGATGCTTTTAGATATTTAGGTTCGAGAACTTGTCAGCATATTTTGTCATGAATTAGATGACCTGATAATCCTTAGACAGAGACAGGAAAACATGGCTTGTGCCCCTGTCACCTGAGGGCCCATCATCGTGTCTGGGACGGAGGCTGCTGACATCATGCTGATTCACATGGCAGACACTCTGAAAATGCAAAGTCCCTGAGACGCTTCAGATGAGATCATCTGACCCTCATCATTCAGTCTCTCAAATCCTTCTCTCCCACATGCTTTTACACCAGGCCATAAAGACATGTCGCTGTCCCAGATTAATCTATGAAGTTACTATAATTCTAATCAAAATTCCGGCTGGCATTTAAAAAATGGAATTAGACACAGACTCCAAAATTCATCCGGAAGGGAAAATGTACAAGAAAAAGTAAAACATATTGAAAAAGAACATCATGGGGATGGGGGCGGGAGAGGACTTTTCTAGTCAACAAAACAAGGTGAGGGGAGCACCTGACAGAAGCTGAAACAGACGGGTGGACGGAACAGACGGGTGGACGGAACAGACGCGTGGATGGAACAGACGCGTGGACACC